ATAGCAGAAGAGTAACTTTGTTGTTCAAACCCAGATTTCATTTAAATAGGGTTCTGACATAGAGAAATAAGGAAAAAATGTACTAACTGATTAAAATGTGTTATGTGTTTATACTCTATTGCATGACTACATTTATGGAGTGTTGACTTAGGGTCAGTCTCTTATTACTTGGAATCAGGTTTCTAAAAACTTGTCAGAGGACTCTGTCTATAAGATAGTAAGAGAAGATTCAGTTTTCATTCCAAAAATTTTTCCAAAATGCCTGTCACAATACATGCTATAGTTTATGTAGTTATGGGTTCAATTGTGAGCAAGGGGCTAACAATCTACTTGGGAAGAGGGCAGCTTATACGAATTGCATTAAATCTGTACAGCACTTTGAGTAGTATGGCCATTTTGATAATATTGATTCTGCCTATCCAGGAGCATGGGAGATCTTTTGAGCTATTGAAAACCAGAATCCTTAGAGGCAAGACTTTATAATCTACATTTTAAATACAAACCCCAGATGATTATTACATTAACATTGGAGAACACTGTTATCCTCACTGTGAAAAAAGTGCATTATTCTGACTAATTTCATATTTTGTATAGTAGGGTAGTCCAAGAAAGAATGGACTACTCTGTAAATAGTGTAATGAATCCATAACTGCATCAACTATAGCATGTATTGTGACAGGCATTCTGGAAAAGGTTTGGAATGAAAATTGAATCTTCTCTCACTGTCTTATAGACAGAGTCCTGTGACAAGTTTTTAGAAACCTGCTTCCAAGTAATAATAGACTGACTCTAAAAAGCAGTTTTATAGTGAATTTTTAAATAGTTTTTTTGTTTTAAGAAATAATTTTTTGTTTTAAAATACTACATAGACATTAAGACATATTTGAACTTAATAGAAGAGCAAACAGAAGAAAAAGTGTCAATTACTAGAAAAAATATTCATCACTGTTTTCCTGTTGTGTTTTGAGAATACAAAGAAAAAACAAAGTCAGTTTCCCCTACCATACCCTCTGAACACAACACAGAATGCTTCTATGACCAAAAATGTGGGGATTTTCCTCCACACACTAATCAAACAATTCTTCAGCTGACACCTGATTGTCCTAACCAATTCAATTCTGACAGTATCAACCTGAAGATAGCTAAGATCCTACAACTGAGGGCCTAGTCCTTTCCCACCCCACTTCAGATGCCAATCAAAAAGCCCTAGGTTGACACTATGAAGGCAGTTCTAAGGGGAAAGTTCATTGTATTGAGCTCATTCATTAAAAGAACAGAAAATCACCAAATAAATAACCTAACTTTACATCTCAAAGCCTTAGGAAAAAAAACAAATCGGCACCAAAAGCAGTAGAAGATGGGAAATAATAAAAATCTGAGCCAAAATTAATGAAATTGAAACCAAAAAATTTTTTTAAAAAATCAATGAAACAAAAAGTTGATTTTTTGAAAAAAATAAACAAAATAGGTAAACCCTTAGCCAAACTAATGAATAAGAAGAGAAAATACAAATACTAAAATTCACAATGAAAAAGGAAATACCACCATGGACACCACTGAAATACAGATGATAATCAGAAGCTGCTTTGAAAATCCTTACTCCAATAAAATAGAAAATCTGAAAGTCATCAGATTTCTAGAGACATATTAATTACCCAACTTGAATCGAGTGGACATAAAAAATTTAAACAGATCAATTTCAAGCAATGAAATTGAAGATGCCATCAGAAGCCTGCTAACAAAGAAAAGCCCAGGACCAGATGGATTCTCAGTCAAGTTCTACAGGACCATCAAAGAAAAACTTATACCAGCACTTCTTAAATTATTCCATGAAATTGAAAAGGAGGGAACCCTTCCAAACTCATTCTATTATCTTCCTGATACCAAAACCAGAAAAAGACAAAATATAGTCCACCATGAACAAATGGGGTTCATTCCAAGGATGCAAGGTTGGTTTAACATACAGAAATCAATAAATGTAATTCACCACATCAATAGACTTAAAGAAAAGAATCACATGATTATTTCAATAGATGCAGAAAAAGCATTTGACAAAATTCAACATCCACTCATGCTTGAAACACTAGAAAAACTAGCTATCGTAGGATCATACCTCAACATTATAAAAGCTATACACACTAAACCCAAGGCAAATCTAAATAGAGGAAAAACTCAAAGCATTCCCTCTAAAAACTGAAACAATACAGGGATGCCCTCATTTACCACTCCTATTCAATATAGTCCTCGAAACCCTAGCGAGAGCAATCAGACAAGAGAAAGAAATTAAAAGGATACAAATAGGAAAAGAAGAGCTAAACTATCCCTATTTGTCAACGACATGATTCATATTTAGAAGACCCACAAAACTACTAGGAAATTACTAAAACTCATAAATGAATACAAAGTAGCATGGTTTAGAATCAACACTAATAAATCAATTGCATTTCTGTACACCAAAGATATATCAGCTGAATGAGAAGTTAGGAAAACTATCAACTTTACAGTAGCCTCAAAAAATAAAATATTTTGGGAATCAACCTAACAAAAGAGGTGAAAGACTTCTATAATGAAAACTGCAGAACTAAAGAAAGAAATTGAAGAAGACCTCAAAAAAATGGAAAAGATCTCCATTGCTCCTGGATAGGCAGAATCAATATTATCAAAATGGCCATACTACCAAAAGTTCTGTACAGATTTAATGCAGTTCCTATAAAGATCCCAATGATATTTTTCACAGAAATAGAAAAAGCAAACATGAAATTCATTTGGAAAAATAAGAGGCCCTGAATAGCCAAAGCAATCCTTAGCATGGAACGTGATACAGGAGGCATCACAATACCAGACCTTAAATTATACTACTGAGCTATAGTAGTATAAAAATAGCATGGTATTGGCATCAAACCAGTCATGAAGACCATTGGAACAGAAGACACAAGGATAAGCCCACATAAATACAGTTATCTCATCCTAGACAAAGGCACCACAGACATACATTAGAGAAAAGATAGCCTCTTCAACAAATGATGCTGGGAACACTGGAAATACATATGTAATAGAATGAAATTGAACCCCTATATCTCAACCTGCACAAAACTCTAAGTGGATCAAAGACCTAGGCTTTAGACCAGAGACCCTGTATTTACTATTAGAAAAAGTAGGCCCAACACTCTAACATGTTGGCTTCAGAATTCCTCAACAAGACTCCTAAAGTGCAAGAAGTAAAATCAAGAATCGATAAATGGAATGGTATCAAACTGAAAAGCTTCTTCATATCACAGGAATCAATCAAGAATGTGTACAGAGATCCTACAGATTGAGAGAAAATCTTCACCACCAATACCTCAGATAAGGCATTAATTTTCAGGATATACAAACAACTCAAAAAACTTAACATGAGAAAAATAAATAACCCAATCAATAAATGGGCAAAGGAACTCAACAGGTACTTCACAGAAGAAGAAATATGAGTGGTAAAATATATGAAAAAATATTCAACATCTCTAGCAATTAGAGAAATACAAATTAAAACTACACAGATTCCATCTTACTCCAGGTTAGAATGGCAGTTATAAACAATACAGGTAAGAATAAATGTTGGTGAGGATGTGGGGGAGAAAGGTACTTTCATACATTATTGGTGGGACTGCAAATTGGTGCAACCTCTATGGAAAACAGTATGGAGATTCCTCAGAAATCTTGGAATGGAGCCACCATTTGACCCAGTTATCCTACTCCTCCATCTATACCCCAAAGACTTAAAAACAGCATACTATAGTGATGCAGCCACATCCATGTTTATAGCAGCTCAACTCACGATAGCTATGCTATGGAAACAACCTAGGTATCCTTCAACAGATGAATGGTTAAAGAAATGTGGTATATATACACAATGGAATATTACTCAGCCATAAATAAAAATGCAATTATGGCATTTGCCAGTAAAAGGATGGAACCAGAGAATATCATGCTAAGTGAAATAAGCCAATCCCTCCAAAAAACAAAGGCCGAATAGTCTCTGATTTGTGGATGCTCTCCCAAAACAAGGAAGATTGGGGAAGGAAATAATAGAAATAGATTGGACTATACATAGGGTAATGAAGGGAAGGGAGTAGGGAGGGGAATAGGAAAGAGTAGAATTAATTAGTCGTAACTTTCCTAGCTTTGTATTTGTATATACACAACCAGGGTAACTCCACATCATGTATGACAACAAGATTGAGAACCTAATAGAATAAGTTTTACTTTATGTATATATGTTCTTCCAAAATATAGTTTAAAAAAAAAAAGCCCCAGGTTGTTTTAGCTGTGCTTCTGACTACAAATTGAGGTTCCCACAACTCCCCTCTCAATCTTGATTAATTTGCTAGAGTGGCTTACCAAACTCAGGGAAACATTTACTTGTATTCACCAGTTTATTATAAAGAATGTTACAAAAAATACAAATGGAAACATGTACAGGACAAGGTATGAGAGAAGAGAAGCCAAGCTTCCATACTCTCTCCCAGTGTGCCACTCTAGGAACCTCCCCATGTTCTGCCATCTGGAAGCTCTACAAATCCTGTCCCCTTGGGTTTTTATGGAGGCTTCATTACATAAGCATGATTAATTAATTTATTCGTCATTGGTTGGTCAACTTAACCTTCAACCCCTGTCCCTTTCTGGAAGGTTGGGGTATAGAGCTAAAAGTCTTACTTACATCCTTGAATATTCCAAGGATTTTAGAACTTAGGACATAGGACAGAGACCAGATACACATTTCATAATATCACCTGTGTATTTCCTAATAGGCTAATCCCCTGATGGTTTTGTATCCTTGGGAGAGGATACAACTATGACTTATGTGAATTTGAAACTAGCATTTGATCTCTTACATGTATTTTGACAAAACCCATAAAACAAGAAATAACCCATCTGTGTTTAATTATGCTCACAACCTGCCTCTAGCTGAGTGTTTAGCATGTGAACTCAAGGATTCATTTCACTGTTCCCATTTCTTACAGGTGCCCCTGATCCCACAGCTGGGGCCAGCATTGATGATGAGAACTGTTGGCACTTAGATGAGGAACAGGTAAAAGAACAAGTGAAGCTCTTTCTCTCCCAGGGAGGTTACTATGGCTCTGGAAAGCAGCTCAACTCAATGTTTGCCAAGGTAAGACATGAAAAGGCTTAATTGTTTTAAACTTTTAAGTAAACTCAGCTCACCATACTTCTGTCTTCATGCATTAAACATATCTCACTTGACTTAGCTAACTGCCTAAAACCTAGTGGGAGGGTTTAAGCAGAGCAGCCCTAAGAAGATTGTATCCAGGGAGCACGACTACCTTACCCTGGTGTCCTGTTTCTTCTCCATTCTAAATAAGCTAGTGTTGCTGGGGGCATTTAATGAGGAAACCATCTTCTCTCTTTGAACCTGAGGTTGCTAAATGAAGCCTCAAAGACTAGTTTCAACAGTGTCCATGGAAGTCAGTGTTTTGAAACTGGGGACCCCTATAATCAGCTTTCTTTCTTTTTTTCCCCCTCATACCTTTAGTGAGATATGACCCACATGCCATACAATTCATCCATTTAAAGTATACAATTCAATAGTTTTTGGTATATTCACAGATATATGCAGCCATCATCACAATTAGCATTTTCATCATCTCAAAAGAAAACTCATACCTCAGCCTATCCCACTCTCATCCTCCATATCCCTTTACTCTAGCCCTCTAATGTACTTTTAGTCTCTATAGGTTTCCCTGTTCTGGACTTTCATATGAATAGAATCATATAGTATGTAGTGTTTTATGACTGGCTTCTTTCACTTAGCCTAGTTTTTTTTTTTCCTAGGTTTATCTGTGTTTTAGCATGAATCAGTACTTCATTCCTTTTTTTTATGGCCTAATGATAGTCCATGGTATGGACACTCCACATTTTTTTTATCTTTTTTTTCCTGTAGATAAATGAATGTGGACATTTGGATAGTTTTTACCTTTTGGCTATTATAAATAATGTTGCTATAAACATTATTGTACAAGTTCCTTGTGGGCCATTTTCCAAGGTGGTTGCATCATTTTTACAATCTTACCAACAATATATGTGGTTCTGATTTCTCTATATTTTGGCCAACACATGTTATCTGACTTTTTGATTCTAGCCAGCCTAGTTGATATGACAAGGTATCTCGTTATGTAAAACAAGCTTTCTTGGCACATGCAGAGACCTTGCTTACAGGTCTTGCTTCTTTCTGGCTCTTTGGATATGTTGTGCTCAATACATCAACATACCCTACTCTCCTTCCTTCTTTCCTATCCTTTTATTCTCTATACTGTCTGTCTCTTGCCCTTCCTTATGTGTCAGGTTCGAGAGATGCTACGGATGAGAGATTCTAATGGAGCCAGGATGCTGACACTTATAACTGAGCAGTTTATGGCTGACCCACGACTCACACTTTGGAGGCAGCAAGGAACAAGCATGACAGACAAGTGCAGGCAGCTCTGGGATGAACTAGGTAAGTTGCCATCTCTCAGAGAAGTGCTATGTCCAACCACCTCACCCTCTGGTGACATTAGTGATCATTTGCTATCAGTTATTGCCTGGGTCTTGCTGAATCTAACTGGTGGAATATTGAAGTTCTACACCATAGTAACTCTGAACTTACCTTTTTTTGCTTCTGTAGCATTGTGCTTTGCTATTGACATTAGCATTCTGTTCCATATGATACCCACATAAAAGCCCTGGCTGAAATAAAACCTCTTTACTTAGTTTTTGTTGAATAGCACTAGCCAAGTTTTTCACATATTTGTCAGACTCACCCTTGTTGCTTTCTCTGAGTCTTCTCTTCTATATCACTCATGGCAAGAACTCATATACATAATATGACAGTTTCCAAGGCTTAGACTTTGACTTACTGTTCCTTCTCCATACTCTCTTAAGAATTTTTTCTTTGTGTGGGGGAGTGCTACCAGAGATGGAACTCAGGGATACTCAAACACTGAGCCACATCCCCAGCCCTATTTTGTATTTTATTTAGAGACAAGGTCTCACTGAGATGCTTAATGCTTCGCCATTGCCAAGGCTGACTTTGAACTTGCGATCCTCCTGCCTCAGCCTCCTGAATTGCTGGAGGCAAGAATTTCAGCCACTGTGCCTGGCAAGAATTTTTTTTTTTTTTAAATATCATGACTTCAGAGCTTACTTGCAGATCTCAAACTTACTTCTTTCCATTCATCTAGTCCCATGTTAGAGGCTACCCATTTGCCATTTCCACTGGGAATTCCAAATTAACTTGGGCCTTCTACAAAAATAGGTTCCCATGCTAGCATTGACCCTAGTGTTCCTTACTCTACCAAATTTATTGTCAGGCACCCATATTTCTTTAATTCCCTACATCCAGATTCCAACTTCATTTCATTTCATGACCTTTAAGTGCTTTTAGTGTCCATTCTAATTTTTTATTCCCTATCACCCCTAGTCTAATAGAAGACCTTAGAACTTTTAGATTAGATTAGAACTTTGGCCTTCTGAATGGCCTCTCTATTCTAATTTCTCCCCAATCAAGGCAATCCTCTTTGGTCATTATTTCTCTTTTTCATTCCCCTGCTTCAAGACAAAATTTGCAATGCTAATACTTAGCTCCTCTACCTATTGGCAGAATCTTCTATACCCTGAACTCATCATTCAACCCTTGCCGCATTTGGGGTTATATTGAGAAAGTTCTCATGTGGTATATTCTAAAGTTCTAATACAGCTCCTCCATATGTACCCTGCCCCAGAAAACAAACTTCCCACTCATACAAAATACCACAAGAAATGATGGCAGCCAACTTGGGATTTCAGTGAGTTCTAGAATGAAGCCTGTGTTTAATAGTATAGCTCTGAAGATGTCGAGGTTATGGCTTAATGACTTTGGTACCATCCTTGGTTATTTGGGGACTGGTAAGCCTGGGTTTTTAGTTTGGGTGGTGAGGCTTTTCTATACAACCTAGAGTAATAATGGCTTTGCTGTTCTTATTAATTGCAAATAGGGGAGGAAAAAATGGGGGGTATCATGAACTGAAATCAATTTCCATGCATGTATGAGTTTCTCAGGATGAGCAAAACTACTCTTATAACTATAAAGCTCTAATAAAAATAATAATAAATAGGTACATTATTGGTATGTGCTAGTCTTTGTGTTGAAGATTATACTCTCATTATTTCATTTAATTCTCATAATAATTTTATGAAGTACTTGTACACTTATTGCAAGGAAACAAAAACAAATCTGGTTACTGCTGCATACAGAATAAAATAAGGAATTATAGATAAAGTCTCTCTGCTGTAATGTAGTGACACTTTCTGGAGTGTAAGAATGTTACACTATGAACTGGGTTGTGGCTCAGTGGTAGAGCACTTCCCTCGAATGTGAAGCACTGGGTTCGATTCTCAGCACTGCATATAAATAAATGAATAAAGTAAAGGTTCATCAACAACTAAAAAAACATTAAAAAAAATGTTACACTATTAGTCTATAGCTACAGTTCAACCAGTTGTTTTCCAGAGGCTGACTTTGAACTTGTGATCCTTCTGCCTCTTGCCTCATGACACAAAGTATGGAAACTTAGAAACTGCTTCTAAACTATTCCCTTGAAAGGGATTGTAGATATGGACTTCCTTCCAGGGTAAGATACTTCTATATGAGAAAACTTTGCTCAGAATAATTCAGTATTTTCTTTAGGGTCACACACTATTAAGTGGAGGTTCTAACACTGGACTCCTGCTCTGTCTGATTCTAAGTCAGGCATTCCTCAGTTCTATCTTATGTCCTTTCCTCAATCCCACAAAAGTGTATGTTGCTTGAGAATTTGAAATTATCCTTCTTCAGAGAGTCAGTTTCATCTGAGGCCTAAGTGTCTTAGAGTGACTTCTGTGCCAATCATGGGATTGTGATTTGGATTTGGACTTGGCTTTTGGGACAAAAAGTAACTGTGGGGCTGGGGATGTGTCTCAAACGGTAGCGCGCTCGCCTGGCATGCGTGCGGCCCGGGTTCGATCCTCAGCACCACATACAAACAAAGATGTTGTGTCTGCCGAAAACTAAAAAAAAATAAATATTAAAATTCTCTCTCTCTCTCTTTAACAAAAAAAAAGTAGCTGTGAGGAAGTAAACAGAGCTGTTTCACAGGGTTTTTAAAGTTTTGTAATATACTTGTGTTCATTATGAATAATTCTCATTTCTGACATTTTCATATCTAAGAAAATATTTATAAGACATGTTTACCTGTGGAGGGTCTAGGCGGGAGTGGTAGGAACTACCAATTATAATAAAATAAAATAAGCTCACTGCTTTTAGTTCCTGAGCTAGACAAAATAAAAGCAATCAGACATGATGATTCCTCACCTTCCCACTTACAAATGTATTTACCCAGTCACATCTGTACCCGTATGCTTGGCCTTCTCTTCTTTTAAAATCTAGTGAATATGTTCCCATGAAAGACCAATCCTTATTAATTTGCTCTGGATTCTTCCTATCTCCTTTTCTCAAGAATTATGCTCCTGCAGTTTTCTCCTTTCTCTGACATTACTAATTTCTCCTACTGTGTGTGTGTGTGTGTGTGTGTGTGTGTGTGTGTGGCTGTCTGTCTGTCTCTCAGATCATTCCTATCAATGTGCAATTATGCTCTGATATCTTGAATCTCAAATTTAATAAAGTTTGTTTGGTGTTCCAACCACCCCTCCTGCAACTACCACCCCATTTCTCACCTTCCCTTCAAAGTAATACTTCTAAAAATAGTGGTCATTCTTTCCATTTCTCCCTTGAGCATACTCCGGTTGGGTTTCCATTGTTCACTGCTGCCACTCTACTAAAGTAACTCTTGTCAGAATCACCAGTGATTTCCATATTGCTAGACACAATATGAAGACATCTTATCAGTTGTCATCTTATTTGACTTCTTAGCAGTTTTCAATAAAATTAACCATACTCTTCTTGAAACTTATTCTTCTGTGAGTTTCTATAACTGTACATGCTCTTGGTTTTCTTCCTATATTTCTGACTACTTTTTCTCAGTCCCATATGCATCCTCCTCTACCTTCCCTCAGTACTTCTAAATACTGAGTATCACACATATACAGCACAATTTTTCATATCTCCAGTTGAATATAAAGAATGTTGACACCAATTCGTGTCTTCATACATGTCCTTTGGATAATGATGTCCATCACATTCCACCATCCTTGCTAACCCCCTGCCCCCTCTCTTTCCCTCCCACTCCTCTACCCTATCTAGAGTTCCTCTATTCCTACCCCACTATGAATCACCCTCCTTATATCAAAGAAAACATTTGGCATTTGTTTTGGGGGGGATTGGCTAACTTCATTTAGCATTATCTTCTCCAACTCCATCCATTTACCTGCAAATGCCATGATTTTATTCTCTTTTATTGCTGAGTAAAATTCCATTGTGTATATATGCCACATTTTTTAAATCCATTCATCCACTGAAAGGCATCTAGGTTGGCTCCACAGTTTAGCTATTGTGAATTGTGCTGTTATAAACATTGATGTGGCTGTGTCTCTGTAGTATGCTGATTTTAAGTCCTTTGGGTATAGACCGAGGAGAGGGATAGCTGGGTCAAATGGTGGTTCCATTCCCAGATTTCCAAGGAATCTCCATACTGCTTTCCATATTGGCTGCACCAACTTGCAGTCCCACCAGCAGTGTATGAGTGTGCCTTTTCCCCCACATCCTCACCAACACTTATTGTTGTTTGTCTTCATAACAGCTGCCATTCTGACGGGAGTGAGATGATATCTTAGAGTAGTTTTGATTTGCATTTCTCTAATTGCTAGAGATGATGAACATTTTTTTCATATATTTGTTGATTGTATATCCTCTTCTGAGAAATGTCTGTTCAGGTCCTTGGCCCATTTATTGATTGGGTTATTTGTGTTTTTGGTGCTTAGCTTTTTGAGTTCTTTATTTACTTTAGAGATAGTGCTCTATCGGATGTATGAGGGGTAAAAATTTGCTCCCAGGATATAGGCTTTCTATTGACCTCACAGATTGTTTCTTTGTGCTGTATATGTATAATAAGAATTGTAATGCATTCCACTGTCACTTATTTTTAAAAAAAAGCAATCAGTCAATCAATCAATACTGATTATCCCACAGCACCCACCTCCCTGTATATGTTTGCTACGTGGATGATTACATTCATTTCCATGGTTTTAAATGCATCCAGATGAAGGCAAGTAATAAATTTCCATATGTAAGGGTTGGGAGTGTAGTTCAGTGGTAGAGTACTTGCCTAGCATGCACAAGACCCTGGATTCTAACCCCAGGACCCCAAAAGAACAAAAACAAATTTATATCTCTAGCTTTGACCCTTTCCCTTGAGCTTCAGACTGTGTCCAGCTGCCTATAACTTCTAAGAATTCTAAGAAACATCTTAAACTCAGTATAGCCATTACAGAACTCTTAATTCCACTGCCAAACCCTGATTTTCCCTTGTTGTCCCCATTCAGTACATAGTATCAGATGTGATTTTTTTTTTTTTTTTTTGGTACCAGGGATTGAACCCAGAGGCCCTTAACCATTGAACCACATCCCCAGCCCTCCCCCCATTTTAAGACAGGATCTTGCTAAATTGCTGAGGCTGGGCTTGAATTTGTAATCCTCCTGTCTCAGCCTTCCAGGTTGTTGGGATTACAGGTGTGTGCCATAATGTTCAGCTGTATTTAGTTACTTACAAAGAAAATGTAAGCAAAATTCTTGTTCCCCCATTTTCTACCTTCTATATCCAAACCAAGACTATTTTATCCTTAAGAGTTTGAAGAGCGAATGAAATAATCTATATAAAATGCTTAAAATAATACCTAGCTGATAAAAAGAAAGAGAAGATTGCTATTCTTATTATGTTATATAATAAGTATGTACATTTTAAACTTCCATAATAGCTACCTTTGCTTAGAATTTTTGACACTGTTTTAAGTTGCAGGAAAACACACATGCTTTTGGATGCTGATAACACAGTATTATGAATGCTATTATATATAGGCAACTGTAGGATTTATCTTGCTTTGGACCTTAGAGATGTGACAGTTTCTGAAACAAATTATAAGAACCTAATTAATAAGAGATAAAACTCATTTTAAATTTATAGGCGAAAGTACTTAAACTTACTTTCTAGGGCTCCTCTTCTTAATATCAGAATGATGAAATAGGAATTCCTATGTGACAATAGCATTAGTACTATTTCTTTACCTCTTAAAGCCTCTCTCGCCTTACTCAATCTGTCTTCCATTCCTATTATCTTAATGATTTTGCCATTTTTAGATCACAAGTCTTTCAAGTAGCCAAATATAGTGGCTTCCTTTTGGTCTTCATTTCTATATATGAAGATTAAATGTGAAAATCTTTTTCTTTGCTATAGATGAAAAGCATTTCTTCAACTATAAAATAAATACTACTATTATGATTACCTTATGAGCCATTATTATAATTATTACTAGTATTCTTTCTTCTTTATAGCACATTTTTAAAATGAAGTTGAACCAATAAAATGAACTTTCATTTTCAGTTAGCTATCTCAAATTGAGGCTAAGATGACCTTTTAAAACATTCCTGTTTGATTTTGAGGACCTTTGAAATACTGTTTGAATGTACCTCCATCCATGGAGGATGTAACTCCATCACAAAATATATTTAATTAAGAAGCACTTCATCCATGATTATTGCTGACTGGAGATTGAGAAGTTATCTGGCAAAGCCACATAACCAACCTTGGAAAAAAATAAGCAGCTTTTCTTTAAAAGGAGGGTGATGTGGTGAAAGAAACAGTATCCCTGGTTATATGAAATATGTGATACTGTGCCCAGTAACAGAAAATTGAAGAAAGTAATGGTTTTGAGGCATCACAAGTTGATCAGCAGTTTCAGAATCTAAGTCCCAAAATAAATCATTTTCCTTGAAAAAAGGAAATACTAAGATTCTACTCTATACCAGGTAATATACTAGACTCTTGATAAACGTGATCCCATTTAATTGTCATACTATCCCTACAAAGTAGATATTTTTATGTTATTGGCTTTACAGTTGAGGCTTTTACAACTGATTGAAGGTCACAAAGTCCAACTAGCCAATAAGTGAGACTTTTTCTGAGCACTTTCCTTCCACCCCTTGTCCTTGTACTAAATTCCTTTCTTCTGTGGTGCTGTTACACCCTGAAAATATCTTTATATCAACACATATATCTGAATGGTTTTGTATTTATTTATCTGTCTCTCCCATTAGACAGTTCCTCAAGGGTAGGAACAGTGTCTTCTTCACCAGTACAATACTTTAGTGAATAGAAGGCTTTAAAAAAAATATTTGTAAGACTGCAGATTTGAGCTAAGTGTTCGAGCCTAAATCTGTCTTGTTTGTCATCAGAGGCACACAGGTGCAGATATCCAGATAGTTATTGTGCTTTAAAGTAACTTTGAGATACAAAAATAAGACAGGTTTGAAAATCCTTGCAAGTTTTTTTTTTTTTTTTTTTTTTTGAGAAAAGCCGATGCTTGGTTGTTTTTGTTATTCGGGATCTTTTTGGTATTCCGCTACTGTACCATAATTAGTCATCAGTGTATTTAAGATAATCAAGGCAGTGAGTGGTGAAAAGGCTACTATTTTGTCATTCTGTTAAGCACATGCTGATAAATGTTATCCCATTTAATTGTCATATTTTTATGTTTTTGGCTTTACATTACTAATTTCTCCAGCCACCGTGGCTTTGGAAACTGAAATGAAACCTAAATGAAACTGAAACATTAAAGCTTACATGTATATCAAAGGAGAGTTATCAAGAATGTGGATTGCTGTCTTTTCTAGGGGCTTTATGGGTGTGCATAATTTTAAATCCACACTGCAAACTGGAGGAGAAGTCCTGTTGGCTGCAGCAGCTGCAGAAGTGGAGCGACCTGGATGTCTGTCCCCTGGAGGATGGGAACTATGGGCATGAACTTCCCAACATCACCAATGCACTTCCCCAGAATGGCAATCACAGCCCAGGTGAGTCAAGTATCCTTTTAGGTTCTTTGTCTCTAGAACTTCAAAAGGTAAGAGGGTAAAGCCCTAGAACAATGGTAACTGGACAGCCTCTTGGTTGTCCAAATTACCATTCTAAATATGAAAAGTCTGTCTTTTTATTCATTCTAAGTCTTAAATAAGGATAAGCCTTTGTCTTTGACATTGGGTATGTTGTTCTTTTCCACATCTAGAGTATCCTTACAGTACCTAGCACAAGGTCCTAGAGCCCTCTTCATGATTCCTCAGTACCCTTCAGTATTCCTCAATACCCTCAGTATCTTTGTGTCTAATGGATCTTGGCCTCCGTTTGGTGTTGACTTTAGCCCAGAAGACCTTTTGAAAAGTGGAAAAAATGGCCCTTTCTTATTCTGTTTCTTGTTCTCTGTTTCCCTCAAGTTTTTATATAGCACATATTTGGAGTTGGGGGTCATCCTCCAAGTATTGCCAGGATTCCTGCCCCATTTTAAGACAAATTCAGGGCAGTGATACTATACCATCTGTCTTTTGAGTCCACTGTCCTAAAGACTTTGCTTGGTATCAATAGTCATGTCAGTTTTATTTCACCTAACTCAAGCTATTTGATATTGACAACTGATGGCTTTTTTTTTTTAACTCATTGAGAATCTTTACTGATAAGAGATTTCATTAGATACTGATTTTATAATTTGTTCCTTTTAAGTAATAATTCTGTTGGCATTTTAATCTAAAATTATTATTTTGCTTGATCCTTCTGTTATACCATATTTAATTTAGTATTTAAAATAACTAAAGTAATGAGTGGTGAAAAGGCTACAGTCTTATCACTTCTTTCAACCTACTATAGTACCTAGTACTCATCTATGGGCAACACGGGAAGCCACCATTTTAATATTGACCTTGGATAGAATAGAGAGGGTCAAATGCATACAAACACATGCCTCCAGTCTGGCAGTTTCTTCCTTGTCATAATATATTGGTTCTTCATTGTTACTGGTTCTCCTTTGAGAATGTCACTTCCTCTGCTTTCTTCCCAAGTTGTGACTGGTATCTGTCTCTCATATCCCATTACCAGTGGAACTGGAGAAGTAATAGAAAGCATCCTATAAACTTTTTTTGCCGTTTCTACATCATTATTCAGCCATCCCATCTTCCTAAAATACCTCCTACTTTTAAAATTTTATGCCATCAAACCAGACTATCTTCTACTTCCACCCTCTTGTTTTAGCCATCTGTAGACTTCTGCATCAATACCCTCATTCCTTGAAGATTTTTTAACTATTGACTTACTAATACTACTTTCTGTCACTCCTCTTGTCATAATTCTCGGTGATTTCAGTAGCTGCAAAAATGATCCTTCCAGCATTGTGGTCTCCAGTTCTTTGACTCCCTCTTTTTCAGTTACTTTAATCTTCCACCTTAATTTAACCATCCAATCCCAAAGTTGTGCCCTAAACTTTGTCATTACCAATAACTATATCCTCTTCATCATCTCAATTTTAAACATCTCCAATTATTATCACCAGACTTTCTTGCTTATTTTCTTTAATATCCCAATTTCCAGTAATTAATTGGCCCACTAGAAATTTTGATCTTACCATATTTTCACTGTCTTGATAGCCTCATTGTCCTTCTTACCCAGGTAGATTCCTTGGTACATCACTCTCTAGTGTACACAGTGAGCTCCCCCTTTCCCTTTGTTATACTCATGTGGCAAAACTCTATAAACTTTGTGCATTCCAATTCCCTTATTACGTGGTACTCACACCTATACAACTGAACATGGCTAGAGAGAAACAATCATAACTGGTCTTATTTTAAATTTATGACCACAAATTTCAAGTGGATCCTTAATGTTTTCTGCACATCTATTACATTTTCCTAGCCTGTACTGTTTTACTCTTCTTAACTACTCTATCATATCATCTTTTCCCTAAAACTCTATATACTTTGTCCTTCCTCTTTCTTGCTTTCAGCTGAGTTTTGCTTCCTGATCACTGACATTAGATAAGGAAGCAGAAATAAATTTCCCATTACCACCTCTGTGGCGTTGGTTCAAAAGAATTGCTATCCTGCTGGGGGTGGTGACACACACCTATAATCCCAGTGGCTTGGGAGGCTGAGGCATGAGGATCACAAATTAAAAGCCAGCCTCAGTAAAAGCAAGACTCTAAGCAACTCAGTGAAACCCTGTCTCTAAATAAAATACAAAATAGGGCTGGGGATGTGGCTCAGTGGTTGAGTGCCCCTGAGTTCAATCCCTAGGACTGAAAAAAAAAAAAAAGAATTACAGTCCTAATTAATCAAAGAATCACTGTCTTTGCCCATCTAATCCAAGTCCAAACCTTCCACTTATTCTCAAGGTCCTATTCTTTTTCTTTTATCCAAAATAATGCTGTAGGAATTATCTCCCATCTCTCCTGCATCACAAATTTTTCCCTCCCTCTGGACCATTCCTATAAGTATGCAAGCATATTATTATATGTCCCATTCTTTTTAAAATAATTTTTTAGTTGTAGATGAACACAATACCTTTATTTTACTTGTTTTTATTTTTACTTGGTACCGGGGACCCAACCCAGTGCCTCACGCATGCTAGGCAAGCAGTCTACCATTGAGTCACAACCCCCGCCCCATATGTCCCATTCTTAAATAAAACAAAACAGAAAACACTCTTGCTTCTCCACATGCTTCTCTAGTTACCAGCATATTTTTTGAGGTGGTTAGAATTAAGAAAAAATGTTCCAAAGAACAATGTATACTTATTATCTTCTTTTCCTCTCCTCTGATTCTTTTTTTTAAATTCATTTTTAAAAAATGACAGCAGAATGCATTACAATTCTTATTACACATATATACCACAATTTTTTATATCTCTATTTGTATATAAAGTATGTTGACACCAATTCGTGTCTTCAATACATATACTTTGGATAATGTTGTCTATCACATTCCACTATCCTTGTTAACCCCCTGCCCCCTCCCTTTCCCTCCCACCTCTCTGCCCTATCTAGAATTCCTCTATTCCTCCCATGCTCCCCCTCCCTACCCCACTATGAATCAGCCTCCTTATATTAGAGAAAACATTCGGCATTTGTTTTTGGGGGGATTGGCTAACTTCACATAGCATTATCTTCTCCAACGCCATCCATTTACCTGCAAATGCCATGATTTTATTCTCTTTTATTGCTGAGTAATATTTTATTGTGTATTTATGCCACATTTTTTTTTATCCATTCATCTATTGAAGGACATCTAGGTTGGCTCCACAGTTTAGCTATTGTTAATTGTGCTGCTATAAACATTGATGTGGCTGTGTCCTTGTAGTATGTTGATTTTAAGTTCTTTGGGTATAGTCTGAGGAGAGGGATAGCTGTGTCAAATGGTGGTTCCATTCCTAGATTTCCAAGGAATCTCCATACTGCTTTTCATATTGGCTGCACCAGGTTTTCATTCCCACCACCACTGAAAAAACTCTTATACTAGTCACTAAAGCTTTGCTTGATATCTTTGCTTTTGTAAAAAGGTTCTTCTGATAGAGGGCTAAACCTAGTGATTGTCAATCATAATCTTTTTTTTTAAGGCATCATCAGATTTATTGTTAGAACTTCTAAATTAGTTGAGGTAATTGTATGAATCTTTGCTCCTTGCAAAGACAGTCAAATTAACCTAAATATTAAATTTGAGGTGTTTACATATGGTGGTAAAATGCCTCTTTATATGTATCAAGAAATTATGAAACCCACAATTTCTGAAACTTATAGTCTTAATTGCCCTAAACATTGTTCATACATTTCTCTCTCTTTTTTTTTAAGTCAGTCATAATCTTAAATGACCTTTTAGCAGTATTTGACACACTGACCATTCTCTCCATGGAATATCTTTGTCACTTCATTTCTAAGACATCAATCTCTCTTGGTTCCCCTTACTTCATTGGCCCTTTCTTCTAAATCTGAAGTGTCTCTTCCCCTCCTTCCAAACCTAAAAATGCTGTAATGCTCAGGGCTTAGACATCATATCACTTATCTTTCTATATTAAATTGGTGATTGCATTGTTTTAATAATCATCTATATGCTAACAATTCCCAAATGGATATCTTCCATCCTCCTCAATTCTATTCTTGTATATTTAACTGCTTTTTGATATATCTGCTTATATATTAATAGGCATCTCAGTGGATTTCTTTCTTTTAAGCCCTACCCAAATCTGTTTCTCCTACATTCTTCCCTGTCTCCGTATCTGGCATCTTTATCTGAAAAATCTTTGTGTCGTTCTTGATTCTTCTCTTTGTCCTTCTCCTCAAATCTAATCTGTGAGCAAATCTCATTGCATTTGCCTTCAAAGTATATTCATTATTCAGCTGCTCACCATTTCTACTGTTGGTACTCTGAGCCAGTACCATCATTTTCATAAATTATTGTAGCAGCTGCCCATATAGCTTGCTCATTCCATCCCTCGCTGTTCTCAAACATTCCAAATATATTCACATATCAGGACTTAGTACTTTCTGGGTCTTCTACCTGGAATGTTCTTACTAAATATCACTAAAGCTTGCCCCTTGTTCCTGCAGATCTTTACTCAAATGTTTTCCTTTTTTTTTTTTTTTTTTTTTAATGGGGTCTTTCTATGTTCCTGGACCCAAATGATCCTCTTCCCTTAGCCTTTCAAGTGGCTGGGACTGTAGGCACAGACCACTGTTCCTGGCTGTTCAAATGTTATCTTATATTCTATATAAAACAATAACTCTACTTACTATCAACTAGCCTTTCTCCCTAACTGTACTTTAGTTTTTTCCACAGTACTTGTAACCAGATAATATAGCTGAAATACTGTATATTTAACTATCTCTCCCCATTTGGATGTAAAGTTCTATAAATATAAGGACTTTTATATCCTGAGCACCTAGAACAGTATTGCTATGTATTAGGCATACAATATATTCTAATTTAATGAATTATAAAACATACTGAGAGCCCAGTCCCCCTGGAAAATTCTCAATTCAGCAGGAGGGAGACTTAGACTATAGCCAGCAGAAGAGTTAGTGTGCTTCCACTGAGGGACTGAACAAGAAGCAATTTCAATAAGTACTTTCAGTGCTACTCTGATGATAATATCCTTAAATTATCTGAGCCTATACCCGGTGGGATATGTTAAATTCTAAAGAGATGAGCAGATTCCAAAACCTTTTCCTATGTGGTTGAATATGTTAGTTTCTTTCATGTTTAATCTGAATCTTCTGACTTTCCTGGACAGTTTTTTGTATGTAATCAATAGATATACACCTACTTGAGTATATCTGGAAATATTTGTATAGTTCAGGTCTTGGTCCCAAATAGGTTTAACTGCTCTTAATCTGACAAAAAATATCTAAATTATCCCTTTTTAAATTTTTTTCTTAAACGTCATTTCCCCGAGTCCCCCAAGTCATAGTTTATGACAACATATCTTCCATTTGATTTACCTGCATACCACCCATAAGAATTGAATTTATCTATAGTATTCATTTCCCTGTTACACTTTTTCTGAAAAGAGATGACATGGTAAGAGTCCAATGAGAAAACAAGTTATTCTTTCGCCAGCATCAGCTTTTCTTATAAGGAATAAAATTTTAAGTCTGAAGCTATCAGTGAGATTTTTTAAAGTATCAGATTATACAGGGCTTTAACTCTTTTTCAGCTTTTAATATGAATTCCATGGAAGCCCTAAGTCTGCCAAGGATCATGCTGCAAATGATACAAATTGTGGATTAGTCAGGGAAATTACCTGACTGCTTCTCTCTACCATTGACCTCTATAGAAACAGTTTGTATCCTCATGATTGAGCAACTGAAAACCACTGCCTCTCCTAGTTTTCATGAACCTCTGAGTCCCAGTAGATATTGGTCTTCTGTAAAAGGAGGAAGGCAGCCATAGATTTTTGTAAAAAGGTTCTTCTGATAGAGGGCACAGATATACTAATGATTATCCAGGAAGGAAGCAGCACAACAAATATCCAGATTGTGGAGTGGTTGTTCTCATTGCTCTTATGCTATTCTTCTGCCCAACCTCTCACCCTGATGAAGACCCAGGAATTAGAACTTCTGATTATCTAACATTGTGCTGCTGCATTTTTTTTTTCTTTCCCTAGACTCCTTATCCAGACCAAGACGAACAGTGTTCACTAGAGCCATCGAGGGCCGTGAGTTACATTGGCAGGACAGCCACCTACAGAGAATAATCAGCAGTGATATATATACAGCTCCTGCCTGCCAACGAGAAAGTGAGCGACTACTCTTTAATTCCCATGGCCAGCCACTGTGGCTTGGTAAGTCTAGCCCTCATCTACTCCAAGATTTTCAGAGCCCAACCTCAACTCATATGAGGCCCAAAGGAGCCATCTGTGTAAGTACCAGCAAAACCAACTACAATTTGGATAGTCTTTATATAGCTCTTTTGAGGCCTTTTGAGATTCAGGATATTTATTTGAAGCTATTTGCATATGTGCTTAGTTGAGGTACAGTAATTTCAAATAGGATTTGTATCCTATCCCCTAAACTTTGGGAGGATAAAGGAGTTAATACATCTCAAGGAGTATAACATAGCCATTAGATATCAGTTTACAGGCTCTCTCAGTCATTGGTTACTGAGCAACGTTATATTCTACTCTGAAATTATATATTTTGCTTAAAAAAAACACCATTTCCTGGGCATGATGGTACACCAGCGGCTCAGGAGGCTGAGGCAGGAGAATTGTGAGTTCAAAACAAGCCTCAGCAACTTAGCAAGATCCTGTCTCAAAAGAAAATATAAAAAAGGGATGTGTCTCAGTGGTTAAGCACTCCTGGGTTCAATCCCTAGTTTAAAACAAACAAACAAACAAGGACTGGGGTCATAGTTCAGTGGTATACCGCTTGCCTAGCATGTGTGAGGCACTGGGTTTGATTCTCAGTACCACATATAAATAACTAAATAAATAAAATAGAGGTCCATTGACAACTAAAATCAAAAACAAAAAATAAACACCAAGTTTGAAACTTAAATTACCCTGTTCTGGCAACTAGGACACAGTCTTCATTTGTCATCAAGCTGTCTTCCTTTCTTCTTTCCCAACTTCCTACCTTCCCTCATAACAGGATAAAACTGTTCCATCTTAAGTTTAAACCTTCCTCTAAGAGAGTATTCTTTTTTTAATATTTATTTTTCAGTTTTAGGTGGACACAATATCTTTATTTTTATGTGGTGCTGAGAATCGAACCCCATGCCTCATGCATGCTAGGCGAGCGTGCTACCACTTGAGCCACATCCCCAGCCCAGAGAGTATTCTTATTATCAGTCTATCCTTGACTTTATTATAGAATACCCACTCCAAAATAAACACTTTTTTTAAAATATTCATTTTTGAGTCTTCAAATAATCACATATATTTTCGTTATTTTACCCAATTCCCTACTCCATCTCTCACCCCATAAAAGCTCTAGCTGAATCTGGATATGTCCCTGTAAAAAAACAAAACAAAAAAACTTGGCCAAACTCCCTGTGGGTCACTACCTAAAATTACCTCTGATCATCTTTCCTCTTTTCTCAAGTACTTCTAAAACATAAACCTAACAAGCATGTGAAAAATGTACACCTCATTAATAAATAAAGATATATATTAAAACTATACTGAGACCAGGCACAGTGGCGCACGCCTATAATCCCAGCGACTTGGGAGGCTGAGACAGGAGGATCACAAGTTCAAAACCAGCCTCAGCAACTTAGCAAGGCCAAAGCAACTCAGTAAGAACCTGTCTCTAAATAAAATATAAAAAGGGGCTAGGGGTGTGGCTCAGTGGTTAAGCGCTCCTGGGTTCAATTCCCCAATACTAGAATAAAACAAACAAAAAACAGCACTGAGATACCATTTTTAATTATCAAATGGCCAGGAATTTTTAAAATAAAGATAATTAGTTTCTGGGTGTGAGAAGTTGCATGAGATAGGTAGGAATTTAAATGCTTATAGCCTTTCTGAAGGATATTTTAGTAACACCTTATCAAGTCTTTAAAATACTTTTTTTTTTTGTACTAGGAATTGAACCCAGTGCCTGACGCTTTCCAGTCAAGTGCTCTACTACTGAGCAATATACCCAGTCCTTTTTAAAATTTATTTTGAGACAGCATCTCTTCAAGTTGTCCATGCTGGCCTCAAACTTGTGATCCTCCAGTCTCAACTTCCTGAGTAGCTGGTATTACTGGCAGATGCCACCACGCCCAGCTCATTTATACCATTTGATAAGGGAATTTCACATCTTGGAATTTCTCCTGAGCAATAATTAAAGATATGCTTAAAGCTAAGAGATTCATTAGGAATGGACATAAATAATGCACAAATGGAAAAATTGGAAATAATATAAATATCCACCAATATGAGATTAATTCTGTGGAAGTACAGATATTCATTGGAATGATATGTATAATTATAATGTGCTATTAAGCAAAAAATCTACTTATAAAACAATAATTATATCCCATTTTAGTGAAAAATTAATAGCTTAAATATGAATAAAACTAGAAAGAGTATTATTTGGTTTTTATTTTATATTTTGTTTATATTTTTAAATCTGTGATTATTTCTAAAAGAAATAATAATAGCCTTAAAAGAAATGGATAAACCATAAAGCTTGTTATAATCACTTGGCCATTTATAAGCCTTTAATAATCTTCCATTATCCCTAAGGTGAATCTAAACTCTTCCTAATGATGTTCAAACCTCTTTACAATCCAGATCTACTTTTCCAGGCTATTTCCAGCCATATAACTTAATGCTAGCTACCCATATATGCCATTCTCCAAAGATGTTTTGTTACATAGAATACTTTTTATACTTTTACTTATATGCCTTTTCTTATATACCTTTGCAAAGAATGCCTTCCCTATTTATCTACCTATTCATGATCTTGCTTTTCCTTCAAAGCACAGCTCAAATATTATTTTTTCTGTGTATATATCTATCATGTCACTTTTTCGTTAACTGTTTATGTATCATTTGTGAGCTCTTTGAAGGCAGTGGTCATTTCTTATTCATCTTTGTACTTTTAACATACTGCCGGGTGTTTAGTAGGTCTTTAGGAAATATAGAATAGACAAATGAATAAGGCTTTTCCCATTGGGCAGTTAGTTTTTACCTCCAGTGGGTTCCTATAATACATGTTCACAAAGAGGTTCTGTATCTTTTTAACTTATTTTATTTTATTTTTTTGGTGTAGATGGACACAACACAATGCATTTTATTTTTTTATGTGGTGCTGAGGATCAAACCCAGGTCCCACCCGTGCTAGGCGAGCGCTCTACCGCAGAGCCACAATCCCAGCCCCAATTTATTTTACTTTTAAATTTGTTCTAATTAGTTACAGGGACTGTATTTTGTCATCCTAGTTGTGTGTCCCTTTCTACACTCTACCACTGAACTGAAGCTACAAGATAGCTCTTTCAAGGAGGCAACTGTGACTTATTTAACTTTTTAAAAAGTATTTGTAGTTTTAGATGGACACAATACCTTTATTTTATTTATATATTTTTATGTGGTGCAGAGGATCAAGCCCAGTGCCTCACACATACTAGGCAGGTTCTCTACCTTTGGGGCTACAACCCCAGCCCCTTATTCAACTTTTTTATCCTGAAAGATTAAAAAAAAATACAGTTCCTTGTATTAAATAGATATCAGGTTGAATTTGAAGAACTGGACTGAACACAAACTCCCTTTGTCAAGCATGAAGTTTCCTATTTTTTGTGTTTTTTGGGGGTGTGGTATGGCAGATTGAAAAACCAGGGGTGCTTTACTACTGAGCCACATCTCTAGTCCTTTTTTATTTTTCAATTTGAGATAGGGTCTTGCTGAATGCTGAGGGCCTCTCTAAATTGCTGAGGCTGGCCTTGAACACAAGATCCTCCTGCCTCAGCCTCCTGAGTTGCTGGGATTACAGGCGTGTGCCGCCATGCCTGGCATCCTGATTTGAAATTTTAACTCAATCAAGATATTTTCTTTTTATCTGGTAGAGCATGTGCCTACAGCTTGCGCTCGTGTCGATGCCTTGCGTTCTCATGGTTATCCAAAAGAGGCCCTCAGACTCACGGTGGCCATTATTAATACTCTGAGGTTGCAACAGCAGCGGCAGCTGGAAATCTACAAGCATCAGAAGAAAGGTATGATGATTAGGAGTCATCTTACCTCTTTAGGCCTAAGGCTAATGAGGATCCTCAGGGGATATAAGACCTAGAACCTATTTTTCATTAAGTATCATGGTGTGGCAGGAGCTAGGGAATTCCAGGAATTCTGCCTGCTGTGTGAAATGCCTCACTTTTTCTCTGTGGATCTCAGTTTTCTCAGCAGTAAAATGGAAACAATGATGCCTTCCTGCTTCCTCAGAGTGCAGATGAAAGGACCACTAACTAAGGTCTGGCATGAGAGGACCCTTTCAAAGCTGTAAAGCTGTATCCACATATGAACTACCAGCAGGCAATCTAAATTCACATCACATGGCCTAACAACTGGCTGGTGAGATTATGACCAGTCCTGTCAACCCAAGACAAGATAATAAAGGAAGCTTTTGTATAACTTCCAGGGTTAAGACCTGAATGAGACTGATAAGGAGAGCTAAGCAGGGGAAAAGAGCAATGTGTCTCTATCACTGTCTGAAACTTTGAACCTGCTTGTTTTTAGAACTGTTGCAGAGAGGAACCACAACCATCACAAACCTGGAGGGCTGGGTGGGCCACCCCCTGGATCCCATTGGCTGCCTGTTTCTCACTTTGACTGAAGCCTGCCGCCTGAATGATGATGGCTATATGGAAGTGTCAGGTACAAGGGTCAGCTTTTGACAAGCCAGGACTGTCCTTGGCAGCCCTGTCCTCCCTGCCAAACTATGTTCCTCTCCTCTTATAGCCTTTTTTTTTTTTTCAATCTTGTCCAAACTCAGCATTCCTGAGAGGTTTCTTTCTTTCCTTTCTTTCTTGCTTTCCGTTCCCACCCTGTGGTCTGTTCCTATTTTACCTTACCAGCTTCCTTACTCCTCTGATTTCCCTACCACAAATGGCTAAAGAATGTAGTCCAGGACTAGAAGAATATCAGAAGTCTGAGGCCATAACTTCAGAGCAGTCCAGAAATGGGAGAGAACATCCACCAAAAAGGTGTATCAAGCCAGGCATGGTGGCACATCCCTATAGTCCCAGCAACTTGGAAAGTTGAGGCAGGAGGATTTTTTGCCCAGAAATTTAAGCCAGCCTGGGCAACATAGTGAGACCCTGTCATAAGAAAAAAAAAAAAAGTATATATCCCTTGCAATTGAATAATACTCTCTGATTTCCTTTAAACATTCACCTTCATGGTGTTTTTGCGCCAGTTTTACAAATGAGAAATAGAGGAGAATAGTCTAACAGAATCACAGAGTGGCCCAGACTAGAAAGAGACAGAATTTATTCTTCTTTCCTTTATGGCTTTACTATATTGTTTACCTATATCTACTTGAGTATTTATTTAGCACACTGCATTATAATTTGTTTACAAATTATTATTTTTTATCAATTTTATCAGTTACTTTTTGAAAGCATAAATTATGACTTAATTGTCTTTGTAATCATAACACTCAGTATAGAACCTGCCATTTAATAGTCTTCTGTAAATACTTACCAGATGAAGGAAAAAGGAAATCAAGATTTTAGCTTTTTTTTTCAATACTAGGACTTGAACCTGGGGATTCTATACCACTAATCTACATCATCAGCCCTTTTTATTTTTTGTTTTGAAACAGGGTCTTACCAAGTTGTGGAGGTTGGCCTTGAACTTATAATCTTCCTGCATCAGCCTCCCAAATAACTGGGATTTCAGACGTTTGCCTTTTTTTGTTGTTGTTTGTTAATTTTGTTTTTTAAAAGAGATCTCACTGTGTGTCACCCAGGCTGGCCTCAAATTCCCAGGATTAAGTGATCCTCCCATAGCAGCCTCCAAAGTAGCTGGAACCACAGGCACATACCAATACACCTAAGACTTTGACTTTTTTTTTTTTTTGGTGGAGGGATACCAGGGATTGAACTTAGAGGCACTCAACCACTGAGCGACATCCCAAGCCCTATTTTGTATTTAATTTAGAGACAGGGTCTCACTGAGTTACTTACCACCTTGCTTTTGCTGAGGCTGGCTTTGAACTCTGATCCTCCTGCCTCAGCCTCCTGAGCTGCTAGGAGGAGTTCAGGCATGCGCCACTGTGCCCAGCTAGGACTTTTACTTTTAAACCTGAGATTATGATTCCATTGGTGGAACATATAAAATAATAATAACATAGAATTTGCAAGTGTTACCAAAATAAGAGTTTTAACTGGATACAGATTTTTTTTTCTATGTAGAAATGAAAGGATTAGCCCAAACTGTGCTAGGGTTGCCATTATCTTCACACTGATACCCTGGTATGGAATCATCATCTTTAATGAGTTTTATCTGCACAGAAACATTTATAGCTTGAAAACCTGAGGTTGCATTTGGTTTATTTGTTCACCACTGATGTATATTTAACTCCTTCCATATGTTAGGCCCTGGAGATACATGGAACAAGTTAGTCTCATCCCTTTAAGGTGTTCACACTGTAGTAAAAGAGATGGACAATTGTGATATTTTATAATGTATACGATAGCAAAAGATAAGTATTCAATTTTATACTTCTCATCAGGCCTGGCCAGTTCATTATGTTATGAAGGAGGTGGAAACCTTTGTGCCTCTGTGTAACCTTTTTTCAGTGAATTTTTCTTACTGCTCTGGGGTTCTGATTTAGCTTCTGAAATATCTATTGACCAAGCAGTATTCCAAAGTGGGAGGGTCTGGAGGGATAGAAGAATCTGCCAAGCCTATCCTAAAGAACCTGGTACCCTGTTACCCTCAGATATGAGTGAAAGCAGACTCCCTGTGTACCAGCATGTACCTGTGGCTACAGACTGTGCAAACAGCAGTGAGTCCTACCTGTCATTAGCCCTGGAAGTTGCTTTGATGGGCATGGGTCAACAGAGGGTAATGCCTGAAGGCCTCTATGCACAGGACAAAGTATGTCGTAATGAGGAACAACTTCTAAGCCAACTCCAGGAACTGCAGCTGGACGATGAGCTAGTACAAACACTGCGGAAACAGTGCATCTTGCTACTAGAAGGTAAGTAGAGAAGGGGATATTGTCACACTGTCTTTGCTTATGACCCTGAGCACCCTTCCTCTACCTGCACAGATACAGGAATATTTATGACATTAAAATACAATGAAGGTTCCCATGGCTGGCAAACATGTATGAGACCCTGAGGCCCTAAAGTCTAGCCTGGTGAATGGAAGCATACAGATAAATTAAACTGTCTGGCTTATCTTCTTCCTGCAGGAGGCCCCTTCAGTGGTCTAGGAGAAGTCATCCACCGAGAGAGTGTCCCCATGCATACCTTTGCCAAGTATTTGTTCTCAGCTTTGCTGCCTCATGATCCAGATCTGTCCTATAAATTAGCCCTTCGTGCCATGAGGTGGGTAGCCCATTTCCAGTCCATTATCCCTACCAAATCAGAAGTCTTCAGTGCTCTCTCTCTCTCTCTGCTTATCCTACTATCTTCTCTTTTCTTCTTTGTCTGTTCTGTTGATCTGCCACCAAATCTGCCTTAAAATGGCTCTGATATTTTCAACTGATCTAGGATTCCTATCTGGGATTCTATGTTGAAGACCCACTTCACTCCCTTGCTATACTCATGGTAGATTGTCTGAAAAAGCCCCTGAGACATCATGATATATTATTAGATAGGAACACCCAGGACTTGAGTCTTCATTTTCTGGAGTCAATGAGGCAGCCTGAGAAAGTGTTGGAGCCCTTCCATAACTCACTTGAGTCATGGTTCCCAAGTACACGTCCTCAGAGGAATCTAGAGGAAGTAGAGATAAATAGGTATACTTCAAGACTTGAAAACTAGTGAGCTTTGGGGATCTTGCTTCCAAACTAGAATAGAATCCTTGGTTTAGGCATGTTAACTTCTGTAGGTAGCAGAGTATACACAAGAATATTAATTAGATTGTAAGACTGAGAGAACTCCTCAGCTAAAACAGGAAAGTCCTTGGCATATACTTATGTTTTTAAAAATAACCCTTGGGCTGGGGTTGTGGTTCAGAAGTAATGCGCTTGCCTAGCATGCGTGAGGCACTGGATTCAATTCTCTGCACCACATACAAATAAATAAAATAAAGATCCATCAACAACTAAAAAAAAAAAAATTAAAAAATAAAAATAACCCTATTGCTTTTGACTGACTTTTCAAGTTCATGTGTAGTGGGGACTATTCAGCTTGGATTCTACAAGTGCTCAATCACTCACTTCATGTAGAGTATAGACCCATACGTTTTGAAAACCTCCAAAGCTCTTACTTAATCCTTCCCTCCTAAGTTCCTCCCCAGAAAAGAGCAAGCTTCTCCAAAGTGGCTCAGATAGCCAAGGTCTAGATGATAACTGATGACTCTTCCTGGTTCTCTTAGGTTACCTGTTCTAGAAAATTCAGCTTCTGCAGGCGACACTTCCCACCCTCACCATATGGTGTCTGTGGTACCCAGCCGTTATCCTCGTTGGTTTACACTTGGACATCTGGAATCACAGCAATGTGAACTAGCCTCCACAATGCTGACTGCTGCCAAAGGTAAGTACAGATAGACCTTAGATACTGGTGTCCCCACTGTGCTTGCCTAGCCATGGCCATCAAAGGGTTGGCCTGCAGTCTCCTGAGGAGATAGCTGACTTTAAAGTGATAGGAATCCTTACTTTCATTGCTAATAAGAAAGAGCACCTGGGTCCAAAATTTTGCCCTAGTTTCTAATTGTAGGAACCTGTGTATATAGAATTAAGTTATTTTTAGTTAACTTCTAATATAAACTTTCATATAATAAAGTCAGTTTACTTTCCAAGCCTCAGTTTCAGAATCTATAAAATGGGGATCATTGTCAATGACCTATCAACCTCCCATAGCCACTGGAGGATGTAATGAAATGATGACTAAGATAGAGCTTACAGATCTCCTTACAAATCAGAGTTCTTAATTTTTCCAGTACCCCCTGGTCAAAAGTAGAGATTCCAGGGTGACACTTAGTCTTTTAAGCTCACATACTACCTATGCAGGCATCACTGCAAAAAGAAATGAAAATTAGCACCTAGATGAAGAGCAATAATAAAACACCAGCTTCCATGGATTCTTGAGTATTTTGTATTAGGAAACTATATGGGTTTTTTAAGCATTTTTGCTTTGTTTTTGTTTTGCTGCTGCTTTTTGAGATGGAGTATTGCTTTGTTGTTGTTTTGTTTTGTTTGTTTTTTAATAATTTTTTGATGTTGATGGGCCTTTATTTAATTAATTAATTTATTTATTTAGGTACCGGGGATTGAACTCAGGGAAACTCGACCTCTGAGCCACATCCCCAGCCCTATTTTATATTTTATTTAGAGACATGGTCTCACTGAGTTGCTTAGCACCTTGCTGTTGCTGAGACTGGCTTTGAACTTGCAATCCTTCTGTCTCAGTCTCCTGAGCTGCTGGAATTACAGGGGTGTGCCACCACGCCTGGCATTCATTTGTTTTTATGTGGTGCTGAGAATCAAACCCAGTGCCTCACACATGCTAGGCAAGCACTCAGCCACTGAGCTACAGTCCCACCCCTATTGTTTTTTGAGATGGGGGTCAAACTGATCCTGAATTCCCAGGCTCAAGGAATCATTCTGTTCTACCTCCTGAGTGCTAACACTCACGAGTGCTGACACTCAGGCATGTGCCCAACATTTTCTTAATTAGAAATAACTTTATGTTTTATTTTCTTATTGGCAAAAAAATACATGCTTATTGCAAAAAAAGGGAAAAGATATGGATAAAGCAATGTACAAATGATCAAGAAACCAGTAGAAAGGATATGATTTTACATTTCACAAAAAAAAAGATACAAATGATATTTTAAAAAATTAAAGTGCTTGTTCTCACTTGAGATATGCAAATTAAAATTACACCTGAGATAACATTTTTCATTAGTTTTATTAGGAAAAAAATCAAATTTGATGATAACCAACCATGAGAGGAACAGGTAGCCTGACATGGATTATTAGATTCCTAGCAGGATAAAGAGGATGACTGCTGAACCAAGGAACTCAGGGAACCTCAAGCAGAAGAAACGTGCAGAAAACTATACCAAAGCACATGATATTCAAATTATTTAAAACCAATAGTTTAAAAAAAATCTTATTTAAAACAAATAGAGTTAAATTTAAAAAAACACACAAAAGACAAAAGACAAGTATAATAGCAAATTTCTTATTAAAAAACAATGTAAACCAGAAGACAGTTGAGAAAAAAAAATTCTTTAAAAGTACTTAAAAGTCTGGTGCTGTCATGCATGCCTGTAATCCCAGTGGCTTAGGAAACTGAGGCAGGAGGATCGCGAGTTCAAAGCCAGCCTTAGCAACAGTGAGGCACTAAGCAACTCAGTGAGACCATGTCTCTAAATAAAATACAAAACGGGTAGGGATATGGCTTAGTGGTTGAGTGCCCCTTGTTCAATCCCTGGTACCCCAAAATTTTAAAAAAATACTTTAAAAAAGTCAACCTAGAATTCTGCACCAATGAAAATGCCTTTTAAAAAAAATGAAATAAGACAAGTGCTGTGTCAGACACCTGTAAACTCAGCAACTAATGAGGCTGAGGCAGAAGGATTGCAAGTTTGAAGCCAACCTGGGCAACTTGGTGAAACCTTGTCTCAAAATAAAAAACACAAAAGCTACGGTAGGTCTAGGGTTGCAGCTCAATGGTAGAACACTTGCCTAGCATGTGTGAGGCATTGGGTTTGAGACTCAGCACCACATAAAAATAAAAGTATTGTGTCCATTTACAACTAAAAAAAATGTTTTTTAATTTCAAAAATAAGGCTAGGGTAGAGTTCCCCTGGGTTTAATCCCCAATATTTAAAAATTTTTTTTTTCAAGCACATGCCTATAATCTCAGAGACTTGGGAGTCTGAGGCAGGAGAGTGACAAGTTCAAGGCCAGCCTCAGTAACTTAATAAAACCTTGTCTCAAAATTAAAAAATAAAAAAGGCTGGGATGTAGCTCAGCAGTAGAGCCCCCCCGCCAAGGGTTCAAGCCCCAGTACCAAATCAAAACAAAACCTATCTTCAGATAACCCCAGTGGAATTAGAAATAAGTAATAAAAAGACATCTGAAAAATAATCCAATTATTTGGATAAATCACATTTTTATACAACTCATGAACTAAAGGGAAAGACACAAGGGGGGGAAAAAAAGCACAAAACATGTGGAATGCACGTTTGAAGGAAATTTTTAGTGCTAAATGCCTATATTTGAAAAGAAGAAGCATTGCAAATCAGTGATCTTGGATCTATCTCAGTGGTAAAAGGCCCTTAGATTCAATTCCTAGAACTTCAAAAAAGAAAAGCAAACAGCAAAAAGGAAAACAAATGAGGGCTGGGGTTGTAGCTCAGTGCATGTGTGTGGCCCGGGTTCGATCCTCAGCACCACATACAAACAAAGATGTTGTGTCCGCCAATAACTAAAAAAAATAAATAAATATTAAAAAATTCTCTCTCTCTCTAAAAAAAAGGAAACATGCAACAGAATGAAAAGGCAACTTACAGAATGGGAGAAGATATTTATAAACCATATATCTGATAAGAGATTAAATTTCAAAAGATATAAGGAACCTTTAAATTCAGTATCAAAAAACCTTAATAACCTGATTTTAAAATGAACTAAGAACTTGAACAGATATTTCTCCAAAGAAGAAATACAAATAGCCAACAAGTAGATGAAAAGATGCTTAAAATCATAGATCATCAGGGAAATCAAAATCAAAATCCATAGTGACATATCTCACACCTCTCAGGATGACTTTTTTGAAAAATACAAGAGACAATAAACAGTAATGAAGAGTGGAAAATTTAGAACCATGATTACACTATGGTGGAAATATAAAATGGTACAGCCACTATGGAAAACAGTATGGAGATTCCTTTAAAAAATTAGCATATAGCTACTGTTGGATCCAGCAATCTCACTTCTGGTTATTTGTCCAAAAGAACTGAAATCATGATCTTGAGGAGATAACAGCACTGATACTCAGTTCACTGCAGCACTACTCACAAAAGCTAAGATGAGGAAACAATTTAAATGTCCATCAGTATGAATGGATTTTTTTAATGTGACATATAAATACAATGGAATATTTTTTAAATTTTTTTATTTGTTCTCTTTAGTTATACATGACAGTAGAATTTATTTTAACATATCATACATACACAGAATATAACTTACCATTCTTGTGGTTGTACATGATGTGGAGTTTCACTGATCATGTATTCATACATAAACACAGGAAAGTTTTGTTGGATTTATTCTACTGTCTTTCCCATTCCCATCTTCCCTCCCTTTCCCCATCCCTCCCTGTCCAATCCAGTGAACCTCCACTCAGACCCTGCCTATTGTGAGTCAGCACCCACATATCAGAGAAAATATTTGGCCTTTGGTTTTGGATTTGGCTTATTTTACTTTGCACAATAGTGTCCAGTTCCATCCATTTACCAGTAAATACCATATTTTATTCTTCTGAGTGATATTCCATTGTGTACATGTACATGTACCACATTTTCCTTATCCAATCATTTGTTGAAGGACACCTAGGTTGGTTCCATAGCTAAGCTATTGTGAATTGAGCTGCTATGAACATTGATGTGGCTGCATCACTACAGTATGCTGATTTTAAGTCCTTTGGGTACATGCCGAGGAATGGGATAACTGGGTCAAATGGTGGTTCCATTCTGAGTTTTCTGAGGAATCTCCAGAGTGTTTGCACTAATTTGCAGGCCCACTCGCAGTGTCCAAGTGTATCTTTTTGCCTACATCCTCACCAACATTTATTGTTACTTGTATTCCTGATAATTGCCAATGTACAATTGCCAATATACAATGGAATATTAGTCAACCTTAAAAAATAAGGAAATCTTGAGCTGGGGTTGTGGCTCAGTGGTAGAGTGCTTGCCTAGCACATGTGAGGCCCTGGGTTCAATCCTTAGCACCACATAAAAATAAATAAATAAAAGTATTGTGTCCAACTATAACTAAAAAATAAATGTTAAAAAAAATAAGGAAATTTTGAAATATGTCCTCAAGGAAATCTTGAGAGTCAGCATCCACATATCAGAGAAAACATTTGGCCAAGGAAATCTTGCAGACATTATGCTAAATGAAATTAGCCAATCACCAAAAGACAGACACTGTATGATTCCACTTATATGAGGTATCTAAAATAGTCAGATTCATAAAAGTCAAAATGGGCATAAAGTTTAAGTTAAGTAAGATGAATAAGCTCTAGACGTATGCTATACATTTTATCTAGACTCAACAATAATGTATTATACTCTTAAGACATTAAAAATCTAGGTGTTGGGTTGGGATTGTAGCTTAGTGGTAGAGCGCTTGCCTAGCACATGAGGCACTGGGTTTGATCCTCAGCACTACATAAATAAAATAAAAGTATTATTTCCATCTACAATGAAAAATGTTTTTTTAAAGGTAGACATTGTGTTAAATGTTCTTAGCAGAGTAAAGATTTTTAAAACATTAATTAAGCCAGTGTCAGGGCTGTAGCTC